CTTGGAGACTTTGTTCATTCCTTTTTGCGCTTTTTTCTCTGATCTTGGTTTCTCGTTTTATTTCATTGAGTTGGTCTTCGACTTCAGATATTCTTTCTTCTGCTTGGTCAATTCGGCTATTGAAACTTGCGTTTGCTTCGCAAAGTTCTCGTATTGTGTTTTTCAGCTCCTTTAATTCATTCATATTCCTCTCTAAGGTATCCATTCTTGTTATCATTTCCTCGAATCTTTTTTCAAATCTTTTTTCAAGGTTCTTAGTTTCTTTGCATTGATTTAATACATGATCTTTTAGCTCACAAAAGTTTCTCATTATCCATCTTCTGAAGTCTAATTCCGTCATTTCGTCACAGTCATTCTCCGTCCAGCTTTGTTCCCTTGCTGGTGAGGAGTCTTGGTCCTTTCTAGGAGGCGATGTGTTCTGGTTTCGGGTGTTTTCCTCCTTTTTGCGCTGGTTTCTTCCCATCTTTGTGGATTTGTCCGCTGGTCGTCTGCGTAGTTGCTGACTTTTCGTTTGGGTCTCTGAGTGGACACCCAGAATGTTGATGATGAAGTATTTCTGTTGCTTGGTTTTCCTTCTACCAGTCTAGCCCCTTCGCTGTACGACTGTTGAGGTCCGCTCCAGACCCTGCTTGTCTGGGGTGCACCTCTAGTAGCCGTGGCACAGCGAGGGATGCTACCAGTTTCTTTTTCTGCTCTCTTTGTCCCAGAATGATGCCTGCCTAATGACAGTCTTTTGGATATAGAGGGGTCAGGGAGCTGCTTGAGGAGACAGTTTGTACTTTATAGGGGTTTAATTGCTGAGCTGTGCACTCTGTTGTTCATTCAGGGCTGTTAGGCTGCTATGTTTGATTCTGCTGCAACACAGCTCATTAAACAACCCTTTTTTTTTTTCTCAAATGCTCTGTGTTGAGGGGTTTGGGCTTTATTTTTGGATGTCCGATCAGGTGTCCTGCCCAGCTCGAAGGCAGACTAGCCACTGTTTGGCTGCCGAGGCTCCGCCCTGCTGTTGTGTGATTCGCGCTGTTCCTGCCGGCTCTGCTGTGGTCTCCGCCACGCCCTGCGGCGGAGTCTCTTCGTTGTAGCGTGTTGCCTCAGCAACGGCAGGCTGCGTCAGCAGTGGGCGTGTATCTCAGTAGGGACGGGTTGCCTCGGCAACGGCTGGCTGCGTCAGCAGTGGGCGTGTATCTCAGTTGGGGCGGGTTGCCTCGGCAACGGCTGGCTGCGTCAGCAGTGGGCGTGTATCTCAGTTGGGGCAGGTTGCCTCCGTAGTGGTGGACGCCCCTCCCCCACAGAGCGTCTCGGACAGTCTGCCCGGGATAGTTTGAAATCGCGGTTTTGTTCGTCCCACTGGGTAGCCCAAGCGATTTGTCCCTGCAATCCCCTGGGCTGGGCTACTGTGCAAGTCTCGTTCAGTCTCAAGTCCAGCCCTCTCAAGTCTCAGGTTGCCGGTTCAACAAGGCACCCGGACACGCGCGCCCTGTGGGGATTGCTGGGTAGGGCCGGCCGCCGCCGCCCCGGCTGCCGGCTTCGCCAGGCAGACCTACTGCCTGGCGTCCCGTGTCTTTTTATACTTGGGAGTTTCCCCGTTCTGTGGGCAACAAAGATCAGTCTGGAAATGCAGCACTGACTCACCGTTTGCGAATTCAACGCGGGCTCCAATCCTGGGTTGTTCTCACAGCGCCATCTTGAGTCCCCTCCCCTGCAGTAAGCTTTAATTGCACCATTGCACTCTAGCCTGGGCAACAGAGCCAGATCCTATCTCTTAAAAAAAAAAAAAAAGATTTAATACTTTTTATATTTCAGTTTTGAGGATATATGTTATAAACACTATGATTGTTGCTACTTTCTTGTAACCACCAATAGGAGTGAGAGAAAGAAAGCAAAAAAATAATAAAATTAAAAGTAGTTGTTTAAAGGAAAATGTAGTACAAATAACTTGAGGCTTGTTGTGGTTGTACTTATTAAGTGGGCATTTTAAGGATCTTTTTTTTTTTTTAGTTGTAAGATCATTGCTATTGAAGTCAGTGCAGTGGGAGATATTTGGAAAGATCAAGGGTAGCGACGGCTTTATTAGCGTCCTTACCATTCATGCTTTAGTATGCAGCAGGGCAGGGATTAGTCATACACTGTCTACCTGAACCTAGGACTTTAGGAAGAGCTACTCTGGCCCCCAGTGGCCAAATAGGTAAGTAACACCAAAACCAGGATTTTTTTTTTTCCTCTTTCTTACCTGCTTCTTTTATAAGAATGGTCCTTACAAAGTAGTTTCAGAGGGGCACTGTGGCTCGCACTTGTCACCCCAGCACTTTGGAAGGCCAAGGCAGGCAGGTCACCTGAGGACAGGAGTTTGAGACCAGTCTGGGCAACATGGTGAAACCCCATCTCTACTAAAAATACAAAAATTAGCTGGGTGGTGGTGGTGGCACATACCTTTAATCCCAAAGAGTGAGACTCTGTCTCCAAAAAAAAAAAAAAAAAAAAAAATCCTATAGAAGTAACATTGTAAGTTGCATAAAGGATAACATTAAAACTGATAAAAAATCATGCCTATTTAGAAATAAAGAATAATAGTGTATAGATTATTTATTGCACATGAACTCTGATCACATTTTGCTTCTTGCAAAGACTGGCTTTATAGCAGTAAGAAAGCATATGTAATATTCAGGCCTGTGTTTGTGGAGTTTTAGTAAAAGTGTATGATGATTCTTTTTTTTCTGTAATGAATCAAGTACTTCTGCTGGTTTTCCTAAGCACGTTCCAAAATCTTGAACTTGTCATATGTATCAAATGAGCAAAATCATGAATCTATTTTTTACTTTTTTAAAGTTATGAAGTTATAAAAAATGGTTGAAGTCAATGAACTGAAGCGATAATTGAAAAAGTCACAAAAAGTAAACCATCCCAGGAGACTGGGGATGTGTGTGTGGGTTGAGAGGGAGCAAGGGAGATTGCAGATCACTTTGAACCAACATCGATTTATTTAAAGTGATTGTATGTTGATCTATCACAGTGAGCAGGAGAAAGAAAGCCGATAAACCAAGAAAAGTGTGATTACAAGTCAGGATAGGTTCTGTGAAGGAAATGAGCAACATCAACAGAATCACCTTTAGTTGTTTTCATTCTTTGTGAATATTTGAATTATTTTTACAATGAACATATAATACTTCTATGTCAGAAAAAGCTGTTTCCCAAGCCTAATTGGAAAGTTACTTCACAAAGTTTAGCAAAATTGCCTGGTTTTGTGATTCATTTCTATGCTGAAGGAGCCATTATTTGAAATTGCAGTCGTTTTTGCCTACATAGAGTATTGTTGAAGGGAGAAGCAAATCAATATGTATCTGATATTCCTTTTTGCCTCTAGCAAAATAGAGAGACACAAATCATTCAATGAGGGATAAATAGCAGTAGTCAGGGATGAAGCCAGAGCTTGAAGAGTTTTTCTGACCCATAGACCATTGCCCTTAGATTTAACCTGACTAATATTGACAGATGCTTTACCCAGATCATTCTTAGAGCTTGATTTCTGAAAGATGGGGAGTTTTGTAGCAGTTTTTATTCTGTATTAATGGGGCATAATCCTTGAAATATAGTAAGTAATCCTGGTCCTGAAATCATTACAATTTCATATTGAATTGCTTTATGCTACTTTCTTTATTATACCAGGCTCCTGTTCCTAGGTATTTTTTTCTTTTCTGTTTGATTCTTCTAAGTTAAATTCCTTCTGTCAGTATAAAATAGATGTTAAGTTTGTGTGCTCTGGAGCTGGAGTGGGTTCAAATTCCAGGTCAGTCACTCACTAGCCATAGAGCCTTGGCAATTATTTCTGTGACTCAGTTTCCTCATCTGGAAATGATAATACCACTTATGGCATTGCAGTGAGGATAAGATGAATCAATACTTGTAAGATATGTAGCACAATGTCTAACATACAGTAAGTATTATGTAAGTGTGAGCTATTTTATATAACATTTCCAGGGCATATGAGAAGAGGTGAGCAAGATACCACTTCTTCATTTGTCACTAGTAGTTTTCAACATCGTGATGATTATCCAGCTCCCAGAAAAAAATGTAATATTTCCCTGGGCGTTACTTAGCTTTGATGAATACTTTTCAGAAGGATTTCTTAGTTCTTTCAATGTGTGGTGTTGAAAATAGGTTGTGAATACAGTCATTCTTGTCTTTGAAGTGAACATTAAGTTGAAACATTATTTGGGCTGTAAACTAAGTACAGCAGATATTATAGCCATTGATAAATTAATATTTACTGAATATATGAGCATTCAGAGGTAGAACTTGCTAATTGCTATGGTAGATACTATCTTATGTGTCTTTATATTGTCCTTGTCCCTTTTGAAATATATATATATATATATTTGAGATGGAGTCTCGCTCTGTTGCCCAGGCTGCAGTGCAGTGGCAGGATCTCGGCTTCCTGCAACCTCTGCCTCCTGGTTATTCAAGCAATTCTCCTGCCTCAGCCTCCTGAGTAGCTAGGATTACAGGCATGTGTCAACATGTCCAGCTAATTTTTGTATTTTTAGTAGAGATGGGGTTTCACCATGTTGGCCAGGCTGGTCTTGAACTCCTGACCTCGTGATCCACCCTCCTTGGTCTTCCAAAGTGCTGGGATTACAGGCTTGAAGCACCATACCAGGCCTGAAAGATTCTTTTGAGTGATATATTATGGGTGTTTGATATCATTCAAGTTAAATATTTCTATATCTTCTGGGATTTGACAGTTGAAAATATTGATTATATGTAGTTTAGTTAAAACTATACATTGTTATGCATAGTTACAGTTAGTTCCTATGTATATATTTAATTCTTATTTGGAGTTTTAATAGTGTCCTGAAATGTTCTCATCATTGTAATCATATTTAAAAATGATTTTATGCCAAAAATTAAACAGTACAAAGAAAATCCCATACAAAACCCCCTAAAACTTTAAACTTACGTTTCTTTGATTTCTCCTCTTTTGGTTTGTGTTTTTGCTTTTCCAGAAAATGTTCCTGAGAGAGATCTTCATGGAAGACTTTTTATCAACCGTGTTTTTCATATCAGTTCTGAGAGGATGTTTGAATTGCTCTTTACCAGTTCACGCTTTATGGAGAAATTTGCCAGTTCTAGAAATATAATAGGTTAGTCCTTGTGTTCTTACCTAATGATAAATTTGGGAGAATGCTATTATTCGTAGAAAGTTGAGCCTATATAAACTGATTTATGTTATGAGGAGGAAGAATTAGACTTTTATTTATTTTGGCAGTATATAAACTGGTATTCAAACGTTTGGTTAAATTCACATGTGAACAGTATAATTGTTTAATTAGGCACATGGTTCCAACAATTAAGTTCAGACCTTTGAAAACCAAAAGTATATTTATTCATTAAGGTACTAATTTGGTTGGGTTGAACTCAATTCAAAATGGTTTCATGTGAAACAACTGAATTTTGGTGGTGTGTAAATTGCAACAACCACTTTGCCAACCAGCTTGGCAGTAACTACTAAAGCTATTAATTCTCTATGACTCAGTCCCACTCCTAGATATATATTCATCAGAAATTGGTACATTTGTGCTCTGAATGATGTACTACAGTGCTCATAGCAACATTATTTATGATGGCCCCAAACTCAAAACAGTTCAAGTGTCCATCAGTAACAGAAAGGATAAACAGATTGTGTATGTTCCCACAAAAGAATCTTTGCAATAACGAACAAAATGCAAAGTACTGATACTTATAACCATATGAGTAGATCTCACAGATCCAATGTTGAGGAAAAAAAGCCAGATACAAAAGAGTACATGCTACATTATTTCTTTATATAAAGGTAAAAACCAGGCTAAACAAATTTATGGACATAAAGTCAGCATAGAGCTTACTGTTGTGGAGAGTCAGATAGGTAAAGCTGGGAGGGAGCTTTTGGGATGCTTGTATAAGTTCTGTATCCTGATCGGAGTGGTGGTACATATATGTGTTCCCCTTGTGAAATCATGGAGCTATACACTTGAGATTGCTATATCCATGACTACTTCAATGAATATTCTTTTAAAAGTTCAATTTAAGAAACTTGTTAAATTTCTTAATTGGAAATTAATGGTTAAATCCTCATGAAAAGGATTTCATTGATTATGTGTTAAAAAGTTTTATTTTGGGGCTGGGCATGGCGGCTCATGCCTGTAATCTCAGCACTTTGGGAGGCTGTGGCGGGTGAATTGCTCGAGCCCAGGAGTTTGAGACCAGCCTGGACAATATGTGAAAGCCGTCTCTACCAAAAATACAAAATTAACTGGGCATGGTGGTTCACACCCGTAGTCTCAGCTACTTGGGAGGCGGAGGTGGCAGGATCCCTTGAGCCTGGGAGTTGGAGGTTGCAGTAAGCCAAGACTGTGCTACTGCACTTCAGCCTGAGTGAGAGTGAAACCCTGTCTCTAAATAAATAAATAATGTTTTATTTTGGTAAACATCTCTGATAAGCTTATTGTTAGTTTGAAACTGAATTTATCCTAAATGTTTTCAATATTTCATTAACATTGGGAGCATGTGATTTAGCCTGCTACATAAAATTAGAATGCAACAGCAGCAGAGATTCATATAAAGTGAGTCATTTGACATAGTCAAAGAGAAAGTTATTCTATAGTCAAATTATGTATTTATTTATTTATTTATTTATTTATTTTTGGCAGAGTTTTACTCTGTCACCCAGGCTGGAGTGAAGGGGTGGATCTTGGCTCACTGCAACCTCTGCCTCCCAGGTTCAAGCAATCTTGTGCCTCAGCCTCCTGAGTAGCTGGGATTGCAGGCATGTGCCACCACACCTAGCTAATTTTTGTATTTTTTTAGTAGAGGGGTTTTGCATGTTGGCCAGGCAGATCTCACACTCCTGGGCTCAAGCAATCTACCCACCTCAGCCTCCCAAAGTACTAAAATTACAGGAATAAACCACTTTATAATCTAAGTATTTTATTGACCATTAGATGTTATTCCTTTATTTGAAACTTTTATGTAAAAAGATATATAAATATATATATATATATTTTTTTTTTTTTTTTGAGACAGGGTCGGTGGTACAATCTCAGCTCACTGCAGCCTCTGCCTACTGGGCTCAGATGGATTTCCTGCCTCAGCCTCCTGAGTAGCTGGGATTACAGGCATGCACCACCATGCTCGGCTTTTTTATTTTCTTTCTTTCTTTTTTTTTTTTGGTAGAGATAGGGTCTTGCTATGTTGCTCCAGGCTGGTCTCAAACTCCTGAGCTCAGGTGATCCACCCACCTTGGCCTCCCAAAGAGCTGGGATTACGGGCATGAGCCATTGTGCCTGGTCTAAACATAATTATATATTCATAGATGATATAATTGTTACGAATACTAGGAACCAAACTCAATTTTGTTCTTATTGATGATAGAGTAGCAAAGAAATTACAATCAATAGCTATTGTCTTGTAATTATGAGTTTTGTAATTAAAAAAATTATTTTTTCTGTTCTTCTAGTTTTGAAAATGTGGGATACCTAAGATATAAATCTTCCTCTTTATTCAGTAGTTAATAACTTCTTATATCTTTTCTGAATCTATTTTGTGTTTTCTTGTTAGTCATTTCTACCTAGAGAACTTGGTATTTCAGAAGAACTGGATATATTATTTTCCTTAATTTTCGGAGAGGAGACCTGTTAATACTGGTGCACTGCCATTTTTATGGCTGAAAAGACCCAAGAGGAATGAGGACGTTGTTCTGTGCTGGTGATAAATGAAGTGTTTTGTTTGAAACACAACTGCATTTGTTTTCTGTTATGTCTGGCATCAATATCAATGATTATATTGACTGTCTGATGTTATAAATGGCTTTGCAAAGCAAAGGCTTCCAGCTAATTCTAAATCTAAACAGTTATAAGCACATTGCTGGTTAGACCTAGAATTAGTCTGAAGCTTTACCGCAAAAGAGAATCTAATCCTTACTGCAAAGCATACAGCTATCCTCTGACTTATTACCTAGTAACCAAAGTTATATTTCTTTCTTTCTTTTTTTTTAGACAAGGTCTCTCTGTGTTGCCCAGGCTGGAGCGCAGTGGTGCAATCACAGTTCACTGTAGCCTCCACCTGCTGGGATCAAGTGATCCTCCTACCTCAGCCTCAGTAGCTGGGACCAAAGGCACGTACCACCATGGCAGGCCAATTTTAAAACAGTTTTTGTAGAGACAGGGTCTCCCTATGTTGCCCAGGCTGGTCTTGTACTCCTGGCCTCAAATGATTCTTTCACCTCAGCCTTTAAAAGTGCTGGGCAAGTGTGAGCTACCATGCCTGAGCTGGCATTTCTTGAGATTGAATTTCAAAGGCTTCTTTTAAAAATATTAAGAATTTAATGATTTTTTAAAAATAATCAATTATTTGTGGATTTAATCTAATTCCACTTCTAAGTTTTCCAAATTATGGGGGCTGAGAGTTTTCCTGAGTGAAGAGGAGAAAAGTAGCGGGGATAGTGGCAGTGCTGACAATGAGTTTTCTTGGAGGCTTTTTGGGTCCAATTTGTGAGATCCATATTATCTTTAATGATGGGGAAGCCAGGAAAATGACAGAAATGAAAACTGAAGATGGCAAAGTAGAAAAACACTATCTCTTTATGATAGAGAATCTGTTTCAGGTAAGGTAAACCTAGCCTTTAAGCAACCTGGATAGAGGCTAGAGCACCAAGGAATCAGAATTGAATTTGTAGGTCAAATGGAACTTTTCAATGACAAGAGTAATGCTCATGAATTTATAAACCTAGTGAAAGAACTAGCCTTACCTGGAGAACTGACTCAGACAAGAAGTTATGCTTTTGAATTTATGCAAGTTGAAAAGCCATATGAATCTTACATCGGTGCCAATGTCCACTTGTTATTTTCTTAAAGTGACAATAGTAAGAAGACTGACAGATTTAGCGAAAGAATATGATCTTACTGTTCATCAGCTTGCCACCTGTCCTGATGTTAACAACTGTATTAAGATGGCAGTGGGCACTGAAGATTGTCTACACATATAATTTGAATATAATAAATCAAAATATCATTTAAAGCATGTACTTGTTTGAAAATTTTACTTTGTAGTAGTAAGAATAAAAATACAACATATGGAGTTGCAATTGATCAAAAAAGAGATCACAGGAATTGGACCCAGTACCACAGCAGAAACAGAAACAATCACCGAATATGAAGTCATGGACGGTGCACCAGTAGAAGGTGAATCGATTCCAATGAGACTATTTTTAGTGGAATATGACCCACGTCCAACAATGAAAAATTTTCAGCAAGTAAATTTAGTGTTTGTTGATGAGGAAGACCAAAGGTACTTCAACAAGCTGGAGATCATTTTATGAAGAAAAGCTTCTGAAAACTGAGGAAACAGAGAACAAACTTACACCAGTGATTTGAATCTCCAGAGTCACAGGCATCTGCTTAAACAGCCTGAAATGTGAACTGAATAGGAGATAAAATAAAAAGAAAGGGCAAAAAATTCCTGTAACCCTTGAGTTAAGTTCAGCAGGTTGAAGATGGTTGCAGCTGTAGAGAGGAAAAGACCATACCTCAATATTAGTCTTCCTTTATCTTATAGTGCTGCATTTATTTTATGATATAATTAAATGTTCTTCATATATATTCATTTTAAAAAGTGCTTTCTTTGAAACACTGGAATGTTCTTAAATTCCCTTTTTTTTATACTGCACACTTTGATTTGATGATAAGCACTCAGATATGCATCAGTATAAACATTAAAAATTTTCATGTGAGAAAAATAAAATCAGGGGGTCTTTTAAATCTGTGCTCTTTTAAATCATTGTTTACAATTATATGACACTACGTTTTAAATGTTTTTGATCTTTTAGTTTCAGGGGCACATGTACAGATTTGTTATACAGGTAAATTGTGTGTCATGAGAGTTTGGCGTACAGATTATTTCATGACCCAGGTAATAAGCATAGTACCCAATAGGTAGTTTTCAACCCTTACCCTCCTTCCACCCTCCATCCTCAAGTAGGCCCCAGTGTCTATTGTTCCTTTCTTTGTGGCCATGTGTACTCAATGTTTATCTCCCACTTATAAGTGAAAACATGTGGTATTTAGTTTTCTGTTACTGCAGTAGTTCACTCAGGATGATGGCCTCCAGC